TTCTTGCTAGAGGTTGTAGCTAATCAACATAGCTGGACTGAATTGGCATTGTCTCTTGGAGTTCCTTGGGCTAGGCCTGACAGCAAGCCTAAACAAACCATGCTAGGTCGTTGTTGGGTGAAACAGGTCACCCTATTTGGCCACCCAGCCCTGTGACGGTTTGGGCTTCGGAACAGAAAGGCGCTGGGGTTTGTTAGCCATCTTTTACTGTTCAGGGTGGTGTGTGAACCCAACCAGCAATGTCACTCTAATTATGTCTTGGCCAAATATTTTTAAAGCATTTCTTTATCTGTCTGTCTATCTCTCTACTACTAAAACTCTTGTATCTGTAACCTTCAGTTGGGCGAAACGGTGCGCCGCAGGGCCACTGTTTTGGAACCCAGGTACCGCCAGTGGGCCAGCATGCAGAGCGCGTTGTGGGACTGAAATGTGGCAAGGCTGTGGCCGCTTCAGCACTGCTGCGCTGCCGCCGCGGTCACCCCAGGTCACGGGATGGTCATGGGCGTGTCCCCGACCTCTTCCCCACCTCTCTCTGTCCCTGCGCCCAATCGGCTGGCAGCAAAGCCCAACAGGCGAGTGGCGATTGGCTGCCTTGGAACCGAGGCAGAGATTTGAAATCTCTCAGCGGCAGTTGGTGAGGGGAGGAGGAGGGAGCGGCTGGGAGGCTGCTGGGGAGGGAGGGCTGGCTGAGGGCAATGGGTGAGCCCTCTTCCTCCCTGGAGGGAGGGGCCCTTGGGGGCATGCCGGGATGGGGGGCGGGGGGTGCAGTTTTCCTCAGGGTCCGCGGCCCCCTGGGTTCCCCCTCCCCCCAGCAAAATGGCAGGTCAGCCAAGGAGGAAGGGGGAGGCTTTCAGGGTGGAGAATGTCTTGGCCAAATATTTTTGAAGCGTTTCTTTATCTATCTACCTCTCTACTACTAAAACTCTCGTGTCTGTAACCTTCAGTTACTAGCAATCCTCTCCAACACATTTGGTCAGCTGTTGAGGAAAAAAGTAGATTTCTTGGAGAATACTTATTCACACTAGGGAAGAAGCAGTCTTAATTCTAAGGTTCTTCAAATCTATTCCCAGTGGGACGCGGTGGATCTCCTCCTCTTTCTCTCCCTGTCATTTAGCAGAACTGAAAGAAACGAAGTTGCTCAGCAGGCGATTTCAGGTCCCGTTTCTCGTCTCAGATAACGGAGGGGCCGGCGTGTGCCTGGACCGTGAGCAGGGTCCATCCTCTTCCAGAAGGCAGCCTGGGTGTGAGAAATGCTAAAAAGAAGTAATAGTTATTAGTGACAAAAAGGTAGCTTTTACTTGACCAACATTAACAAGGAAACTTCGA